GACGCACTGATGCTGTTGGGAGACCGAAATTGACGGAAACACCACCCTTGCTTTCTGAGGCTCTCGTCTTCACATGAGAACCAACAGCCCTCATGAGAAGCTTTCACATATGCAGTCTGCAAGGTGATGCTCCATCAAGACCCAGTTTGCCATGATTTCACATCACCTTGATATGCCATGGCAATTGCTTAATGGCTAAATGGCCGCGGCTGGATAAGACTGCAAAGAATAGGCCGGATGAAACAGACAGGGAGGGTGAACCGAGTAGCCCGTGAAATGCCTGGAAGGTCAATGGCCTCGCCTCGTTGGTGCAAACGATTCACCGACATCGTTAGGTTGAAAGAAAACAGTGCATACTTACTTACTGCAAGGGTCGAATACTCCGCCAAGGCCCAGTGTCTCTGCGGCATCTCAACTGCTTCTGGCGCAACCATCACTAACAGGGAGGCCTATACTGGTGGTGGCAATTGGTTCAAGTAGGGGACAGGCTCGTCCTCTCGGAAGCTGCCCGGCTTTGTACAGCTAACTGGCCTGGCCCTTCCAAGCTTGGATAACATGCTCGAGAGAACCAAGCCAGAAAAATTCGGGAATTCATCAAGAGTAGCCACACCGAGACTGTCTTCCCTCAGCGTGTATTGCATGGAGACATACGACACCACGTAAACTGGGAGATGAGATCCATCCCTTGGCTCGAAGGCCAGCACCCAAGCGTACTCGTACGTAGTTCTCCACGCCAGTGTCCGTTGGACACTGCGAGAAACCTGTAGCTGAAGGCGCAGATGAGTGTATGGAGAAGGCGTCCACTCGTGTCTGCAGCGGGTGTTACGCAGGCTTAGGCACACCACGGTCCCGCCTAGGCCAGGATAGATATTGGCTTGATGTCGTGGCCATCAGCGAGAGGATCGAGCATGGCGGGAAGGAATGGAAGTCGATAAAGGGGGGGTCCTTGTGGAGCGAATGACATCGATGCCCGCTCCTCTGAGAACGGACGAGAAGGATGGCGGCTTGCATCTTCATTTTAGACTGCAGAGCAAAGTGCATGCACGGTCTCATGGCAAAGGCGGGCAACGCAGCGATGCCCAAGGATGAGGACAAAGGCCGAACGGGTTGAGCGTGCATGGGAGCAAGCAGAGCCGCAAGAATGCCGGGATGCTTCGTGTTATAGGTGTTTGTAGATCCACAGGAATTCGACTTTGCTACATGCGGCATCAAAACGGTGATTTGGCGGAGCCGCTTGTGATGCATGTTGGCTGAACATGTCGAGGACCAACGCCAGTGTCCAACTCGAAGACAGTTCTGCCGCAATTGCCCGAGTTGAGGAGCGATTCGCAAAGTCTTGATAAAGTTCCGATTCTAGCCCGCAACACAATCGGCGAGGAGTAGCGGTACCATCTCTGCCATGCTTCTCGCGTCTCTCAAGTACGAGGCTTGGTGCGAGCACGTTGGATAGTTTCGACACCATCAAGTCGCCGGGCCTCAGATGCGCCTACTTCCGTTAGCGGACGAGGCCAATGAAGCGCGAGAAGGATTTGGCGGCTTATTCTGCTCTCATCTTTTCACGCATGCATGCAGGTATGCAGAGCGGCGGCGCTTAGGCTGGGGTGTAAAGCGGTGGTGGCTGCTTCAAGCTGTCGAGACACTGCGTCTGGGCCGAAATGCCCTGGCTGCCCTCCAACGAAATCTCTTCGCTTCTCAAGCGTTGGGTGGCCGCATGAGATGGCCGCAGACTCGCAGCAAATAGTCTGCAGTGCTACCCGCAGAGAGGCAGGATGAAAGCAGGTCAGCGCTGTGCTGGCGCCTTAGAACAAGCGCGCTCATGCTTGACCTATCAAAACCAAGCCGGGTCGCCCTGGGGGTTATCGAGCAGAGATCAGTCAATCAGAAGGAGGGCGGGAGAATAACTCATGGCCATGGCCCGGCCTGCTTCGTACGGCGTCTGTTCCCGTCATGCAGCCAGCGGCTGTTGCCACGGTTCCATCGTGGTGCGGGTTTGACAGAGAGTGACTAAGCGCCGGCTGTTGCCAGAGCTCGATCTGATGGCGAGGCAGGAGACTGGCGTTGGGACACACAAAACCAAAGCTGTCGGGGGTTGGAGATCCTTTTGTTGAAACAAGGCCTAAGGTGGTATCCATAGAGCAGCCGATGCGCGCGCATCAATGCATCCCGAGAACGTGCCACATCGTGGAGATGCCACTGCATCACGATTGGAATGTGTTGGACGGGAGCGGCGGCGAGAAGCGCTGTTAGACGCTGAATCGTGCATCGAAGGGTCGTCCAGATTGGGTGGTGGTCGGATTGCTCTGGTGTTTGAGAAGCAGCAGGACAGGGGAGCTGACAGAAGGTTAATTGGAAAGCTTGCTGGAGTCCTGACATGGAGGACGATTTCATCAGGGCGTCTATGTCTATCCACTCTCAAACAGTTGTGCCCTGTACTTCCAAGACTTCGTACGACATGCCAGATCGTGATCCTCGCTGACGAAGCCTCCCCCAGCTCCATGTGCAAGCCACCCCAGATCTTCGCCGGACGGAAATGGCAGCGATTTGCGCGTTGAGAAGCATTGGGCAACCTCCGTCGCCTGAAGTAATATTGCTTTGGCGACTGCTTGTTCTGGCTAACCAAAGCCTTCATTTCAAGAGAACCAGCCAGGTGAATATGCAATCTCACCGCATCTCCTGCTCTGCACGTCTGTCCGTATTCATCGTGCCCTGAATTCAGCGCCGAGCAGGGACTCGACAATAGCGCCGCGGTATTCTCTCGACCGCCACGTCGCTGCGATTCCTGGTGTCCGCTCCTGATCTCCATGGGCGAGCCAGCATCAAGCTCTGGGACAAGGGATCGCGTCATTCCCCGGTTTTTGGGCCCTCACTCTCCCCCGTACTCGTATGTAGTACTTGTCATGCTCGTAGCCGATAGCACACGCAAAACCACGCGAACGGTAACGGCCAGCCGAGTGGGAAAGTGAGCAACAACAAGACCATCCATCGTGACCTGTTTTCTGGGTTTCTGGGAGCTCGAGGCCGAGGCTAATGACCTGAATCACCGACCGGAAGGAAGCTTAACAGGGCCCGGTCCAACCACGCCGCCTGTCGCGTCCCAGCATCTCCATCTCGTTCACTAGCACCAGTGACTTGTCAGCGAGCTAGGGACGTTCGGCCATCCCAAGCCTCTGGGACCAGTTCGCGCGATGCCGTGGATGGGTTGATGGGTTTCGCTCGTCCATGCCACTCTCTCTTGTGCCCTCAAGCCGCCCTTAGCACCGAACCTGGGCGCCCCGGCCAATCAGCTGGACACAGCGCTTCGTGCTGCGTACGTGGCTGTCGAATCACAGTCGTTCCCGACGACCAAAGCGGCCTAGCAGAAGCGCCCGGAGATCTTCCCCTTGAACCACAAGACCTTGGATATTATGCGGTAGCCGTACGAAGCACGGAAGTACGAAGCAGTCAGTCAGCGGGATTGAGTCTCACCCCTCGTCCAAGGACTTACCATGCCGTTGCTAGCAGTCACGTAGGACTGACTGTATCCGCTGCTGGCCAGCTGAGTCCTGCTTTTTTTTCTCTTTGCTTTTTCTCCTTCGTGCCCTGTGACGTGGCAAAGCTGAGCGAAATAATAGTGTTAAAGAGAAGAGACGCCCTTGAAGTCGTCAAGTCTACGGGGTGCCTTCGATAGCTGTAATACGGCAGCAGTCACTGAGCGCTGCACCTTCTGCTTTAGCGCTCAAGTGGTCCTAGGCGTGCACCTGGAGTACTTACCTAGTACCTCCCCAAGCGAGCATCTGCCGCCGCTCCAATGGTCGCATCCGCGTACCCGTGCGCACACCCCCTCCGCTTCGCGCTGCTTTAACAGGCAAACGCCCCTCTGGTTCCCCGTTCCTTCCCTCAGTGGATTTGGAGCTCTGGTGGTGCCTGCCTGCACTTTGAGCCTCCGTCATCACCATCACCAACAGGCAAGAGCCGGAGCAGAGTCAGAGCCAGAGCCAGAGCCAGTTCGTTCTTTCCAGGGAGATCCATCCGGCTCCCTCGCTGATGCCTGGATCTTCTTTTCTCCCTCTTTTCTTTTGCCTTCTCTTCCTTTGTAATCTCCAACCTCGAATCGTCACCATCATTCGTTCTCACTTCGACCCTGTAATCTCTTCGTTTCTGCTTCTTCTGCTTCTGCTTCTGCTTCTGCTTCTTCCGCTTTGTCCACCTTGTGCTTCTTGTCTCGGCGCCAAAAAAGAGCCCTTTCAGCGCACGGCGCATAGGCCACGACGTCAACCCACCCAGGCACAGGAGCAGCAACCTCAGGCCTCTCGTCGAACGAACAGCCAATTTCCTTCTCGCGCGCTCCGTCTTCCACTGCATCCCCTGCTCCCACCCCCCCTTGGGGAATCCTCCTTGCGGCCTCGTCCAATCCGCTCAACCATCGGCCAGCCTGCAATCGGCGTCGAGCGGCAGGGATATCCAGCGCCCCATCCAGGCCACCGGCGCATATCCAAAACACAGCCCCTACCCGAGCCTTACACTGCCTGCGCTGCTTTGACTGGCTCTTCTCAAACAAGCCAAACCCCGTCTCGCCTTTGCCGCCAAACCCCTCGTCCGCCGGGGTCTGCTGTCTCTGACGCTCTCCAACACCCCTCCTTAGGAACACGCCCCCCGTCCGCTGCTACTGCTCTGACTTCTGCCAACCGTCCAACACAATATAATCACCGCGGTCTGCCTTCTTCGTCCCCGCCAACTTTTTCTCTGGCCTCATCTCGTTGCGTATCTTTCTCTTGAAGGGCATCACTGGTTATAGCTTTGAAGCCTTGAGGCTTACAAGCTGCCACGACCGCTTCCCGTCTCTTATCCCATTTACCTTACTTAACTCCGGCCATCGTCGACTACCACCAGCCCACCACTACTACTACGGGATTAGAAGAACAACTGGAATTCACCACTCACAAGCAAGCACTCTCGCACAACCGAAGTCATCGCTTGCGTATCATTCACGCCTTCTTGTCATCAACTACCAGTCATCTCAACAACCACCGCCATCATGCCCGCAGCCACAGCCAGGCCCAAGCTGGGCAAGCTCGCTACCCCAGTGACGAGCACCTTTCCCTCGGACGTACATTCAGCAACCGCGGCCACTCCTCGGTCTGCTCTACCGTTCGCCTACAAGCCTGACCCAAGCTATATCAAGACACCCATTAGCCCACCATTGGCCTACACCGACTTCCTGTCCAAGGCCCTTACGCTCGGCTCACCGGCTTTTGCACCGGGCGAGATCTCCCCCGAGTCCGCACCGACATCTGCCGCCAGCGACAAGTCGGAGACGTCCTCGACCGACGAGCGCCCCTCTCCGACTTCAAGCGCCGCCAGCAGCAAACCCTCGTCGCCAGCGTCGGCGACGGCGGTCCCTCCCACTCCATTCACGGCGCCTCTCCCCATGTCGGCTCCTCCTACTGGAGCGCATTGCTTTCCCAGCTTGAAAGTGCCGCCCAGTCCTGCCATCTCCAATCTCGACTCTCCCATGAGCTCGAGACTCATCGGCTCTCCGTTTAGCGCGGGATCCATCCACTCCGTGTTCGATTGGGACGCCGCTCTCAAGGCTCGCCTGGAAGCGAAGAAGCCAAAGTCGTCACGGAGTGTACGGCACATCCGGGAGGTGGTGACGAGAACCGTCACCTACACGCCCAAGATGGAGCCTGCTCCCCGAGGCAAGAGACGGAAGGTGGAGTAACGAGGAGAGGAGAGGGAAAGCATGCTCCGAAGCATGCTTGAATCACACAACGCCTCCGACACTCTGCTTCTACCACATCTCGTTTTGGTGATGGCGATGCTATCCTCCTGCACACTTTTAACTAACCAACACCCCAACTGTATACCAACCATGATCGACGACACTGGGTGTTTTCACTTCTTGTCTTCCCGACTGCACGTCTCCCTGGAGGAGACCCAAAAAAGCATGATGCCAGAGAATTGGAAGGGTGAGCTGCTTCCAATTCTCGTTTTATTATTTTTTTCACGAAACCTTCAGCACTAATACGCTGGTCGAAGCTGAAGTCGACGATGTGATGGATTACATTTTGGACCTGGGAGGGTCCCGGAATGACACTGCTACTGGCGTATCATGGACGAGTGGTGGGGGGAGTTTTCTATTATTATCTGTTCCCATCTCCATGTCGGCTATCTCGATATCATTTTCTTTTGTTATCGCATTCCTCCATTGTGTGAGGGCCTGCGAGGGTGGAGGCTTTTTGTTTGCTGTTCTTCTGCTTTGGAGGAACAAGGGATTTCCTTCGGAGTTTGTTGGCGTTTTTTCTTCTTCTGGCACGGATCCTCGACATCTGGCGGGCGCTTCTGCAACGCTTCCGCAACGCATCGACCAGCTCGATAGTCAAGCCGAGGCCAGGGCTAGACTGTGGATAATGGTCTGCTCGAGTCTGGGCGGGGGCCGGCAGAGGGTCAGGCGATGCCGCGTGTGTCACCGGGAGCGGGAACCAAGAGGGGCCGGTTGTTTGCGAGGTCGCATAGAGTCGGGGTCGGCGGAGGCAGTTTTCACCCTTGGATAACCAGACGGGCCAGCTGCACAGCGCAGACAGCATGCCCGTAACGCGCATTTATACACTACTTAGAGAGACAGGGAAAAGACTATTGAATGAATGACTGCAACAAAGAGCGTGCTCTGTAGCGCATTGTGACGGCGCTGATGGGTGCGGTATTCTCCGATTGCGACGCAAGATGGGCCATGGCAGATGGGTTATGACATGTATATCCATCAATTTGCCCAGTCTTACGACATGTCGTCGGGATGGCTTGCAGGTAGTGCTCCCGTGCGGTGCGAAGAGCCAATCTCGGTATAAGAGGCCTCGTTCATTCGCTGCCGTGGTGACGCTTTACCCTTTTGTGCCCTCTTTCTCTACAGCAGTACTCCGTAATGGCGCTCCTCTATATTATTTCACGCAAAGCTGCAGTACTGGTGCCATGGCAAAGTGGAAGAGTGAGAGTGCGAGAGAGACTGGGGAGGATTGGTGGTCGCACAGGCGGTCGCATGAGGGTGGGCGCCTGAGCATGTGCGATGACTCGGAGTGGGATGGGGACTTTGTATGCGCATGTGCAAGGGCCTTTTCTCTCTCCCTCCCTCTCTCTCTCCCTCTGCCCTCTTGTCTGCTGGTATTATGGAGAGGGATGTAATACTTTGGTAAGTGAACATTTGGTAAACGAGGGGTGAGGATATGCAATAGTAGTTTGCTTTGATGTCTGGAGCTGGGGCCGTTTGGTTTCGGTGCTTTGTTTGCTTTTGTGCAAAGTTACCTAGGGCTTGCGTGTAGTATTCGAGGAGAGGGAGGAATCATGCCGTAGAACCGTAGGGACTCTGATAAGCCCTGTTCTACCATCCTTCTCTTGTGCGTCAATGGCTGCTATGAGATATATCGACGGATACAAGAAGACCCTCTTTGTTTGAAGGACCCCCTTCAGGGACACGTCCTCCGGAAATCCACGCCCTCAGAGAAACAAGGACAGACGTTGACATTCCGACTCCCGTAGGCCCGTTCACTTTGTCCCGTATAGTAGCATCATGCTATAGTAGCAGTAGTAGTAATATGGTGAGCGCTTGTGCGTGTGCGCGGCCGAGTGGATGAGTCTAAGGCCGGATAATGGGCCGGGGCGGGAAGATGCTTCCCGCTAGGTCGCGATGCGAGAGGCCACCGAGTTGCTGCTTAATACTTTTGCTTATTTTACCACTTGCTTGTACAAGTATGCTAGTATCCCGCCTGTCATGTTTTGTGATGTTTCGTTCTTGTGGCTTTCTGGTTGTTGGTATTGTTTCCTCCATCTTGCATCGTGACGCCGTGATTTGGTGTGCCGCCCTGTTTCGTTTCGTCGAGTCGTCTATAATATCTCGCTGAGCGGCTATTCACACGTCTTGTTCCTTGCCAATATGGATCGATAGGCTGTGGACTCAAGAAACACAGCATAACAAGCAAGCGCATATTCCTCCCTTTCCTTCTGGCTGGGCCGTAGCGAATGAGAACCGCCCAAGTAAGTCTTCGTCTATCTTTTTTTCGTTCGAGTTCGTCCGTCAGTCCCCCTTGCAACAACTCTTGTCAATCTCATAAACTCTCGTCGTTCAAGCATTCATTCTCCCTGTCGTGCATGGGCTTAGGTCATCATCATCCATCTCTTCCACACGCCCCCCCTCTTCTCTCCCTCCCTCCTTCATCAAGGGGGACAAAGATGCTCGTCATAGCAGCGTGCCGTCTCTGCTCGAATCTCCTCTCCTTGGCTGCTGCTGCTGCTGCTGCTGTTGTTGTTGTTGCTCTTCCACCAATTTGTCCCTTCTCCAGGTTCCCCATGCTTCTTTGTCCTGTATGTGAACTTGCAAAGCAGCTTCCATCCTTTTTCGATCGACTACACCCACCAATTCCTTCATCCTTCTCCCGGACACACCATCCGTCGTGCGTCGTGACGTTTGCCGACGTCACTGCTCACACACCCTCTCTCTCACTTCCGCCTCCGTCAACCACAGTAGGTACTCCTCCATACCCCTGTCTCCTCTTCGTAGTCTAGGACCTGGGGCTAAAAAAAAAGCCAAGCAAAGTCATCGTGAGAGAGAGAGAGAGAGAGCCAGTCAGCCTTAAAGCGGCGTCCCGCCCCAAGAAGAAACGATCCCAGTGCCACCCCTGTTCGTGCCAAAGCGGACCTCTAAGCGCCGTTGAGCTCCCGCAGGCCCGCACCATTGGCCGGCGTGGAGATGTCTGTCACCCACCCGTCAGGTCCAGTGTCCATGATTGGCCGGGATCTAAGCGCCCTGATATGTGGGCAACACATTCATGTTCAAGACAATACAGACACACTAAGCCGTCGCTTCCTGTGGCTTTCGGAAGGGGGCCCTTTTTCTGCCTGTTGCTGCTGTAGCCTTTCATGATGCCTGTCGTTTTGTCTGTATGGCCTGTGCGAGGGCGTATGTCGGCAGTATGTACGCAGACGTCTTCTTATGGAGCAATCTTCATGTAATTCGTAGGGCCCTTCTCTTGCTGTGACAGTGCATGTGGCGAGAGATTGCTGTAGCTGCTTCGAGCGGCGCTTGCCTACTCGTCTACCTTCGAGCAAAGTAACTAGGAAGCAGTACACAGCAACAATAGAGAAGGGGAGGGCAGGTAGCCATAAGCACCCATTTCCAGGCTCCGAATCTGTCCGTAATGTCAAGATATGGTAGAGAGACAGCAAGAAGCAAAAAACTCAATAAGCGAAGGCTGCCTCGTGGGCATAAAATGGACCCAAAGTCCAACTATCGTCCCCTCCGCAAGGGGCCGCCGGTTTAGTGCTGAGATTTCCATCTTTCTTTTTTCGACCATGGCTCTCGTCAGGCGAGGCCAACTGCCGAGTTACCACGCAAAAGGTAATTCTCCTTCACGCGAGGCCTCTTGTCCGCGGGACTAGCATCGGTTCACCGCCGTGCTGGGACTCTCTAAGCTTCTCTCTGTCCTCCACCACAACCCCCCCTGCTTGCTTTGCTCTTTGCTTAGCCTGCTCTGCTGTCACATCCCTCTCAACAAGTCGATTCGAACTCGACACATCGCTGTCCCACCAGGCTATGTGTGTTGGTTCGTCGTGCTGTTAGAGCCATAATGTGACGGTCGGTCATGCGAGTCACGCTGTTTCGATGTCGCCATGTCTTCTCATTGGTCCCGGTTTCCCGTCAGACTAGCAAGATTCTCTCGAGAATCCTACCCATTTGTATGATGAGTGGTCCTGAAACGCGAGAGCACAGAGAGGCAGGGGTGGTCCTGGCCCGTATCACCTCTGCTGAAACCGGGTTAAGCCGACATTGGAAGAAGAAGAGGACTGCAGAGGAGCTTCCGCGCCGCCCAGATGGAACATTCTGAGACAGGTTCCATTGCTGCTATATTTGGAACCACGCACACGCACGCACGACCGACGGTGACGGAAGCACCTTCGTTTCCATATCACACGGAGCTCCGGTGGGGACCCCTCTCCATAAACCACCGGGGAACAGCATCCCACATCCCACGAAGGTCTTCATTCTCTCGCGACTCGCAGCTGCACATGGCAAATCAAGATCATCCCGCCGGGGCTTCGATGGCTAGGTTTCCCAAGTCGCCAGGGTGGGAGGAGCAGGTCAATGTCCACGCCTCCATCTCCACCCTTTGCGTTGAGCACCCTCCATCCATCACAACTGAAAGTATATCCCCCTCCCTCTTCTCCATCGCAAGGCATACAATCCTGTAAGCGACTCAATGCGGGCGAATGGCTACTAGTCCACTTCTCTGATCTCCTTTGCGACGGCGTTGCAAAGAGCGACTTTGACCCCGGCTCCAGTGAGGACGTGGATCCATAGGCGCTGCGTGTCGCTCAATCTGTCGTTTGCGCTCTTGACCTCTACAAACATGACCTCGCCCTTTGCCCTTCCCGGCTCCTCGTCTGGGGCGTCTGCTTCGTCGCTCTCCGCCAGTCGCCAAAGGACAAGGTCCGGAATGCCTCCACCTCTCTGTCTGTATTCCTGTGCCATCACCTTGCATAAAGCGGCTAAGGCGCTACCTTGGAAGCAGCGCACTAGTTCCGTCAAGTCCTCCACCTCGAAATCCCAATTGAGCCCTATCACACTGGTTCGTCGTTCATGCTCCTTGTCCCATACCCCACGAAGGATCCGTTCGCCCTCTCCATTGGCAATCTCCACGAGTCGATGGTTGATCTCCGAGGCCCGGGCAGGGAAGAAGGCGTCCGTGTGCAAGTCCAGCGGGCAAGTCTGAAAGGCCGTCTGGAAAACGTTGGGGATGTAGAAAAACAAGATGTCGTAGAACAGATACGCAAACAGGGTACGAATGATACCCCCCTCAGCATGGTAACCCTTCCACCCCTGTGACCGAAAGTGACCAAGACACATCTCTTCCACGCTGCACTCACCGCCAGAGTTTGATTCGTCCAACCAAATGGTTCTGGTGCTTGGAGCCTGTCCTCCTGGCCTCGGTGGGGTAGTTCGCTTCAGTTGGATCCCTTCAACGGATAGCTCCAAGGGGTCAACAAGTCGTACATGTCCAAAGTCATGTTGAAGGCGTTTGGGAATCCGGAGCCTCTTTTCCAGTTTGACCAATCGCTTCTGTAGGTCATAATGGTGTATGAGATGGCAATCGGGGTCTTGAAGTCCTGTCTCACAGGTCGAGACTGCTATGGCTCTCCATCGCTTCTTCTGTTGCTCCAAGTCGTTGGTGACAGGGTTTGGGTCGAGACTGGCCATGTAGTGTTCTTCCAGTAGAGCCTTGCGTTGATACCACGCCCCCCTCCGAGCCAGGTGAAAAAGCCGTTGATCCAGCAACTCAGTCAACAATTCATGTTCTTTGAGGTACTGCTTTAGTTTGCCAAAGACAAATGCGGCCTTGACGAGGATTCGCGTGTATGAATGAGCGGGATTGAATCTCCGGAGATAGGCGCCCTCCCCCATTTCGTAGACTCGCCGCTCTTTCTCCGTTTCTTCTTCAACCAAGGCTTTCCAGCGGGGATACACCCGCTCAAAGATGTTGAGAATTTTCTGTGAGCCTCTTTCATCCAGGGGTCCGTTCGATTCAAGCACACCATCCACTTCCGCTTCCATGTGTATCGCCGCCTCATATTCCAACAGGTGAGATCGAGACGCGAATATTGTTGAAGACCGACAGACGAGGTACTCGGGAAAACTCCGTCTAGCAATCTTGGCCAGTATAATCGTCGTCAGGGACTTCTCCGTCCATTCTGTAGATCTGTAGAAGACCAAGTGAACCCTCTCAAACAATTTGAATGTGACAGGCGATATTCGAATGCACGAGCCAACAATGGCCAGAATCTTGGCTAGAAAGTGCTGCTCCCGATTCGAATCTTCCCTCTTCAGCTTGCCTACTGCTGATATGGCAGGGTCGTTTCTTCCAGAGGTGCTCGAATCCCCGCTATTCTGTCTACTGATACCCAGGGCCATTAGGCCGGTCTGTTGCTGGCTCATCCGGCACAAGGCCCTGATCATGTCCGCCTTCGTCTTGCCTTGGACTTTGGCTTCTTTGGCTAGAGCTTTGAGCTCGTCGAGGTACAGGAGCGAGGCGGCTTCCTCGACTGTATCGAGATGGTCTTCCGAGGCATCGGCAAACGAAAAAGTATCGCAATCATCGGGGGTTTCCAGGTTCACAGATGGCAGCTGGCTGTCTACGAGCGGCTCTGCTTCGTCTTCTGGAGGTAGAGGTCGACGTTCCTGAAGCGTAGCAATGGCACTGCTATGATCCGAGATATCGTTGAAATACCCTAGACGAGACGAACGATGCCACGCCGCAGTTTTCCGGAGAAACAGCCGAACGTACCTATCCTCTCCGTTGAGTAGACGAAGGCTTGGATGACATGGGTGAGGACTCACAAGTATTGAGCCTGGTAGTCCAATTTTCTCCATTGGTTGAAAATCTCTCTCTCTTTGCTACTGAATAGGGAGGATTCTTCCTCCAAGACCGTATCTAACGCAAGGTTGAATGCATCGACATAGATCGAGCTTCTTCCTTTCACCCATAACGGAGCAGGCTTTCCTTCTGCACTCTCTTCTCCGGCATTGTTCTGAGAAGATTTGAGAGCCTCATATTCTTCGATTGCTTCCTGGTTGGCCTCGGTTGGCGGCAGGGCATTCTCGAAATCAGTGACTCGGTCCTTGTTCCGGCGCTGGTCCTTTTCATCCAGAACTCTCTCTGTAGATAAAACTTTCGGGTGATCGTCTTCGACTGAAAGCGCACTCGGCTCCTCAGTCTCCGAAGCTGAATCATTGTCCCTCTTCATCCGCTTGGAAGGCCTCCCCGCGACAGTTGATGCACGGCGACTCGAGTTCCCAGCATCTTGGCCCTCAGCATTAGCTTTCGGAAGCCGTTTCACAAAAGCATCCATAATACCCCATTTCAGGAGCAGAACTTCTGAGCATTTGTCAGCCCAAAGGTAAGAAAGAAAGACGTTGAAAAAAGAGAGCCTTGCACAAGCAAAGAGACAGTTTGACGCGGAGGCGTGAATCAGCTAAACGCGAAGTCAGCTGACCCTCTCCAGGCAATTAAGTGCACCGTCTCCACCAACAAGCTTCAAGCTGCTTTCTCGAAAGCGGCATGGCAGCTTTCCTTTCATTCCAGCCTGAAAACAACCAATTGGGCAACTTCTACACCTCCGAATTTCCATAATCATGGCGGACGAGGATACAAGATCAGCACCGGATGTTCCGCAAGTGTCCATCAATGACGAGGCCTCGAATCTGCCGTCCACGCAGCAGAGCCAAGGGAACGCAGACGTGACGATGGCTGATGTACCGACAGACCAAGCAGTAAGACCCGTCTACTATTATATTCATATGTTCTCGTGATTTTGAGACGCTTCTTTGATTGACTGACAAGCATAGCAGTCACCGGCACCGGCTGCTTTCGCTCACAGCCCAGCTCCTGGCCGGACAGGGACTCCGGCGCAAGGATCAAGAGCTCCTTCGGCGCACCCAGACTCGGGATTCATGATGCCTTCCGAGGCGCCTCCGCATGGTGATTCGACACGGCGATACCTGAACACAAAGGTTACCGGTGTTTTGTTGGAAGGAATGAAGATGTTGGCCAAGGAAAAGTAAGTCAATGCGCGGGAGGCTTTCACAAGCTCAGTATTCTTTGACAGTTTTAACAATCCATGTAGGCCGGAAGACCCTCTGCGAGTGTTAGGCGAGTACTTGATACAGCGATCAAAGGAGATGGAAGGTACAGGGTGATTCAATTCATGTGCACGCGTCATTAGAACATGGGACAAGGCACGTTGAAGGCGTTTGAGGATTTCAGATTACGGATCAGGGATTTCAGGATACCCAGAGCACATCTATATCATTGAGCAGTCCAATTGCTTTCGATTTGAGCATCTTTGACTGCCGCAGCTCGGTGTTTCACGACCGACGCAGAAGAATCATGGCTCTAAATGCAGCTTTTCCATAAATGTCCCAAACTCCAAGACCCGAGAACCCCTCCACGACCATGACCGTGACCCTGGCCAGATAACCTGTCGTCCCTCTTTTTGTTTTGTTCCCTCGCTTAAGCGACAATGGTGCTGGCAGTAGCGGACTCGTACTTCCAGGTGGGGGGCAGGACACCGACGGTCTTGTAGTAACGGGCCAGACGGTGGATACGGGACTCGATGAGAATGAGGCGGAACTTGGAGTCCTTGTCCTTGCGGTTGCGCTCAAGGTGCTTGCGGACAGCGACAGCCTAGCGAATTTCTTGTCAGTAATCCGTCGTTTCAAAGAAGATACAACTCTTTCTGAGCATTGCCAAATCTCACCTTCTTGATCAGCATGTACAGGTCCTCAGGAATGTCGGGGGCGAGGCCTATTAGATCACTCTGTCAGTCATGACCAAACAGAGGCACATGAGAGAAGTATCTCATGGAAGATTGTATATAAAAGTCGAGAGGCAGAGTAATGCATGCGTCGGTTCGAAAACATGACACTCTTTCTTTCGCTCTTTGTTCAGGGTTCCGTACCGTTGGACTTGAGGATACGCAGAATTCGGTTACCTGCAAGTTAGAGTTAGCCAAAAAGTTCCCCATTATAGCCTTTCTCGTGGAAATCCGCCCTATCATCCAAAAACTTACCAGTGACGACCTTGACCTGGGAGATGCCGTGGGAGTCACGCAGGACAACACCGATCTGGGAGGGAGTGGCACCCTTCTTGGCCAGCTTGCAGATCTGGTCGACGACCTGCTCGGGGGTGGTCTTGAGCCACGAGGGAGCAGAGCGGGAGTAGGGGATGGCGGAGGCTGAAATGCCCTTGCCCTTGCTGTGAAGACGACCCATCTTGGCTGGTTTATGGAGGTGATGCTGCTTGCTGCTGGACGATGCAAGAAAGTTTGTCGAGGGAGCTGGTCGCGAAAGTTTGATAGTAGCAGGTAGCAAAAGGCGGAACAGTGGCCGTGGGTGTGGCTGGTGAGCCGCTTGCCTTGATTTCCGCTCGAGCACGTGACTTATCCTTAGTCTCTTCAGCCTCGATGTCTCGACCCGCCATTATCTTTCTGTCCAAATTTTTTCCCGCGAAGAGAAGAAAAGGCTTCTGACGCGCTGCGTCTTGCTTCCTCAACGCCTCTCCTCTCTTACCCAGATATTACTGAAAGTAAGGAATGGTACAGAGGTGCATTTGAGCCGGCGAGCACATCGTACACTTTAGTTACGTTGAACTGGTAAGCTACTTCTCTCCTTTTGCGCAAGCTCCTTATGATATCGCGATGCCTTCATGGCAATGCTTTTATGATGACACGAACACATTTTGTTTTATTTTGGCACCTCTTATGTTAGACCTCCTTCGGGTGGTCAATGAATGGACCGGACTTCTGATCCTCGACACTCATTTCACATGTTTCTGCAAAAGACCGCTTCATGCAATAGACGGCTAACATGAAGCAAACAGACACAGATTTACACCAAGTTCCATAGCGATAGTGCCGTAGTAATCCTAATATGACTTTGACATTCCATACCTGTTTGCCTACAATTGAGCCTTGATCCTTTCTTCTTCGCAGCCACATGCGAAAGCACACAAACGCCGTCCTGTTTTTTATGTTTTCGTCCTCGTGTTCCTGCTTGGTAACATCCGAAGTACGTTTGATCATCAAACCTGCAACGCTCCGCCCCTTAACCAAAGCTATCATCAATTTCAATTCACATGGTCGCAGATGTGACTGTCGTGAGCCACTATCAGATACTCATTGAACTGCGGACTACCTTGCCCAGATATTACAGCTGGTGTGCTTTACCAGGCACCGACTTCGAAATTCTCCTGTTGCGGGTGTTAGCTTTCCTCTTTTCTCCTTTTCAACGTGGAGGACAATGGTAGAGTAGACGAACCTCTGGGAAATACGTGGATACCACAGTTCGGTCGGCAAACTTTCTGCCAGCAAGAGCTGTGAGGGCTTTGGTGGCTGACTCTACGGAATCGAACTTGACGAATATCTTGCCCACACCGGCGGATTGTCTGCTGCCGCCAGTCGGCCTGGGTACCTTGAGCTCCACAACCTTGCCAAACTTGGCACACTCGTCCTGGACATCCTCACAGATTTCTGCATCTCGCGTTAGAATCCCAACAGCAAAATAACCGGTCGACTTGACATACCTTCGTAATCATCGTTGTCCAAGAGCTCTTCGGGAGTGACCATGTTCAGAAGCTGAATGACGGAGCTCCTCTCAATGTCGTTGGACGTTTGAGAAGCAAGGCCGCTAATGGCAGTGATGCCCACGTCGAAATTGGCCACCTGGGTTGGTCCAATGCTGGCCTTTGTCACCTTGAGCTTCTTGCCGGCAACATCCATTCCGTTGAGGCTGTTAAGGGCAGGCTCGTTGGCCGAAGAAGGGTCAAGGTACTCGGTAAACGCGATGCCCTTGATTCGCAGTTAGCACGGCTTTCCCTGCCAAATGTCTGCAACGAAGCGTGACTCACCCTGGACTCTTCCGTACTCCGATCCTTCACCAGGACGAATGACTTGGGTTTACCAAATGCGGCGAGGAGTTCGATAATCTGCTCCTCATTAAGGAAAGTGGGGATGTTGGTGATGCACAGCTTGTGCACAGTATCAGGGACGACGTTGGAGATGACCTCGGGGTCGTAGGGAATATCGTCTGGGATGCCGGGCATGACATAGTCCTTGGGTCTGCGAATGTTCAAGCCAGGACTGCCGCCATTAGCGGTGCCGTTTTGCGCATCCTCAGCTTCCATGGTAATGCCATCAAGTGCGAGCGCAACGGTTGCGTCAGACGCATTCCGAAATTCCACCACGGCAAATGCTTTGTCTTGAGAAAACTGGCAGTTGACACAGGGGTCAGGGGTCTCAATGACGTTCAAGCCATTCAGCTGTAGGTTGAAGAACGAGGTTAAAGCCTCTTCGGTCACCCCGCTTGGGACGTTATAGACCAGCAGACGTTTGGCCTGTCGAGAGTTGCTAGCTTTCAGACCGGCGCTGCTGACTTGACCACCGGGCTGGGTCATAAAGGCTTGCAGCTTCGTGGGATCCATCGGCTGCTGGCGAGGAGCTCCTGGAAGGGGGAACATGCCGGAGAGCTTGGCCTGCTCAGCCGTCACGAGATCGTAGCCAGGGGGCTTAATATCCCACTGCGTCAGGCGGCGCTTGCGCTCGAGGATAGGCACGACGTCCGTCAGGTCAGGAGTGGGTTCTCGTTTCTTGGGGGGCGACGGACTGCGGCGTGCCTGCTCTTGCTTTATGAAGGCATCATCACGCCTGTCCCGGTCTCGGCCTCCTCGTCGGCGGTCGTCGTAGGGGTCTCGATCTCGCCGGCTGGGTCTGTCATCGTCGTCACGTCGAGCATCTCGGCGGTAGGAGCCGCGATCACGGTCCCAGTCCCGATCGCCTCGGCGGTCGCGCGCTGATGAGTATCTGTCCTCGCGCTCTCGGTCGCGGTGGTTGCGGCTTGACGAGTATGCATCGCCGTCCTCTCCTCGACGATGTCCACGATGGTCCGGTGATCGAGAGCGTCGGCGGTCGCGGTCTCTGTGACGGTCGCGGCGGTCATCCCTGTCACCTCTAGGGCCCTGCAGCAAACACGATTAGACATGGCGGGTGGAAGCAGCAAATTTGGCATACGAACAGGATAATCTCGGTTTCTTCGCCCCCCATCTGTTCGACGCGAAACTCTGGTTAGCACAGGCGCCTAAAAAGAAGAAGAGACGGCGTCGGACGCGTGTCGTTGTTTACCTCGAGATGAATAGCTGTCGCCGTTCATGATGGACTTGTCTTATCGCTAACGCCAGCGACCGAGCACCGTCTTGAGATTGATGATGCCGGATATCGTGGCGGGCAAAACGGCAGATGAGGTCGCTGCAGATGTTCTTGGCTAGAAGCTCCTTTGCCAATTCGTTGCATCAAAGGCGAGGCTGGAGCTTTTTTGCAGCATGGGCGCTAGTCCGCCTTGGCGCTAGCGGGCCACTCTGCGCCGGCGAGCCTGTCGGATTATCTGCGGCTAGTGCTTTAGTGACGCGCTCAGGGACCCTCGAGGCTCCCTAGCGGCCCCCTATCAAGTAATGCGCTGGACAGGCGTTAAAGTGAACGACTTTCGTTGCTGGCGTATCAAATTGATAATACAGCGTTAACCTGGAGTTCATCTTCCGCCTACCTACTCTTATCAAAATCACCTTGAGGGCTCGACGAGTTGGCTGGAATGGCGATGACACATGTTGCTAGTTGGCGCAAGTTGCCGGTCAGCCTGGCAGAGCTCTGCATAGACACGACGTTGCGGTGCGGCCAGTCGTTTAGGTGGCGGAAACTCAACGATGAATGGTTTGCCTCACTCGAAAGTGCCTTTTTGCCATGCCTTACGTTGTTGACTGACGAAAATACCTTAGGACCTGCACCTTACATGGGAGGATATTATCTCTGAAGCAAGATGCAACACACCTGCACTACAAAGCGACATGGCCGGCACATCAGGCAGAGGCTCCATCATTCAAGGACGACACGGAAGATCTACTTCGCCACTACTTCAGCTTGAACATAGATCTTGCTTCGCTGTATCAACAATGGTCTAAAGATGACCCCAACTTTCGAAAAAAGGCACCGCAGTTTACAGGAGTCCGCATCCTGAACCAGGATGCATGGGAGGCCCTGATATGCTTCATATGCAGCAGCAACAACAATATATCCCGAATATCTCAGATGGTGAGTCGATACAAGGAAGAATCACTCTTCGATGCTTGGACTAACAAAAGTCAATTCTAGGCGCACAAACTCTGCAAATACTATGGCCCATTAATAGGCCACATTGATGGAGAAGCCATGCACGACTTCCCAACCCCAGAGGCGCTCACAGACAAGACAGTCGAGACTCGGCTAAGAGAGCTCGGCTTTGGGTATCGTGCCAAGTACATTGCAGAAACGGCGCGCATCATTGCACAGGACAAACCTCCAGCATGGCTAGACTCTCTGCGAAACCCGGATTTCCCTGCCTTCAATGCTGTGGCGGTATCAGACGGATCGCAATCCACCTACAAAGATGCCCAGACTGCATTACTTTCGCTGACCGGCGTGGGCCCAAAGGTGGCCGACTGCGTGTGCTTGATGGGCCTGGGATGGGGAGAGTCAGTGCCAGTTGATACGCATGTCCTACAGATTGCCCAGCGGGACTACCGCTTCGGCAAAAAGGGCCCCAAGACAATCAACAAGGCCATGTATGATGCCATTGGCGATCATTTCAGAAGCATATGGGGCAAATATGCGGGCTGGGCTCATTCAGTCTTGTTCACAGCCGACTTGCGCGAGTTTTCAGGGCGTATCAAGGTGGAAAAGGTCGAGAAGGTCGAGGAGGTCGAAGAACTTCCGAAAGGAGAAGATATGTCGCCCACAAAAGAGAAGCCTTCGAGGAAAAGGAAAACAACTGTCAAGGTGGAGGAGATACGTGTGAAAGAGGAGGATACCAAAGACGGAGTCATCTTAGAAATAGAGACGGCAGTCAAGAGGAGACGCACAAGATCTCGGCCATAAATAAAAAGATTCGAGTGCTATTTCATGCATTCGCCGTCTCTAATCGCATTGATCAAACGAGCTTATTCATACATTAAATACGTCTCCTCCTTCCATCATATTCTGCTTGTTTCCTGGCCGAATGCACTCCGTGATGCGAAGCAATTGTAGTTGCATTGGTTGCCCCTTTACGTAAGCTCATTGTTAGGCAGAACTCGAGGAGTCGCGCCACGCCGGGTAAACGCCGGGAGCTTCCGTTGGCGGTAGACTTTTTGCCGCCTCACGTCAAAGCTTGGCCTGCAATCCCTATCCAAGCATCCAAAGCCTTCGCAGCAGCCACACCTCCATGCGCAACGATCTCGTTGGGACCACTTCAAGCACGTTAGAACCGGGATGAAGCAGCAAGGTCGATGAGCCAAGATGTCTGATGCGGATTTCGAGACCATCAAGAGGCTCCAGCAGGAGCGCAACGCCGCGGCAGCCTCGTCCAAGAGCTCTCGCGCGTTGGCAGCCTCGAACCAACGCACCGACTCGACGAAGCAGCGGCTCACCGACAGCGCGGACAGCGTTCTGTACGACACGCAGGGGGGCGACAAGTTTGCGGGATATCACACGTCCCTGCCCATGGGAGATGATGACGATGAGATGGCAGACGGCGACAACACGCGTAGGCTCGTGGGCCAGTACACAGCCTCGCGCGAGATGATTGACGAGTTTGCCCGCGGCGATGGCGTCGAAGAAGACGACATCCTCGCCGGCAAGGGCGAGAAGAGCGGGCGCATCGCTGACCGCGAGACTGATTACCAGAAGCGAAGGTTCAACCGCGTGCTCACGCCGACCCGAGCCGATCCTTTTGCTGAGAACCGACAGGCCGGCGCCGCGGAGAATGGAACCAGCTATCGGGAGATTATGGAGATGCGCGAGCTCGAGCGCGAGGAGATGCGTGTGAAGCAGGCTATTCAGGCAGAGTCGACGAACAACCACGATGACGAGGAGCTCAAGCCAACGCTCGCCGAGGGCGACAAGGAAAACGCAGAGGCGGGTTCCACCGAGGCTGTTACGTCGGTACGCAAGCGTAAGAAGCGATGGGACGTCTCGACAACGCCTGCCGGAGAAGAGGAGGCCAAGGAGGAGGCTGCAGCTGAAGCCAAGTCCAAGCGCTCCCGTTGGGACCAGACCCCATCTGTTCCGGCCCCCGGTGCCATGGAGGCTCCCAAGAAGCGCTCGCGATGGGATCAGGCACCCTCTGCAACCCCGATGGGCAATCAAGGCCTTGCAACCCCCATGCACCCGTCGCAGGCTGCCCCGATGCCCACGACCTTTGGCACCGATATCTCTGGACGGAATGCGCCCCTGAGCGACGAAGAGCTCGATCTGCTCCTGCCTGGCGAAAAGGAGGGCTACAAGATCCTAGAACCCCCTCCGGGTTACGAACCCGTCCGGGCTCCGGCTCACAAATTGATGGCGACCCCCGCACCTCAGACTGGCTTCATGATGCAGGACCCTGACCAAGTCAGACTTGGTGGAAAGCCGATGCCAGCTGAGATCCCGGGGGTTGGCGACTTGCAATTCTTCAAGCCCGAGGACATGGCCTACTTTGGCAAGCTCACAGACGGCGCTGATGAGAACGCCCTTAGCGTGGACGAGCTCAAGGAGCGCAAGATCATGAGATTGCTCCTCAAGATTAAAAACGGAACCCCACCGATGCGAAAGACGGCCCTTCGACAGATTACGGACAATGCTAGACAGTTCGGTGCCGGTGCCCTGTTTGACCAGATTCTTCCACTGCTGATGGAAAAGTCGTTGGAGGACCAGGAGCGACATCTGCTCGTCAAGGTCATCGACCGAATTCTCTACAAGCTGGACGACTTGGTACGCCCATATGTGCACAAGATTCTCGTCGTCATCGAGCCGCTCCTGATCGACCAAGACTACTACGCCCGAGTCGAAGGTCGTGAAATCATCTCCAACCTCAGCAAAGCAGCAGGTCTTGCAACCATGATAAGCACGATGCGACCCGACATTGACCACGTCGACGAGTACGTCCGTAACACGACCGCCCGAGCATTCGCTGTTGTGGCCTCTGCCCTCGGCATTCCCGCACTGCTGCCTTTCCTCAGAGCCGTGTGCCGAAGCAAGAAGTCCTGGCAAGCCAGACACACTGGAGTCAAGATTGTTCAGCAGATTCCCATCCTGATGGGATGTGCAGTGCTTCCCCACCTCAAGGGCCTGGTCGACTGCATTGCCCCCAATCTGAGCGATGAGCAGACGAAAGTCAGAACCGTTACTAGTTTGGCCATTGCTGCCCTTGCTGAGGCCTCGAACCCGTATGGTATCGAGAGCTTTGACGACATCCTCAACCCACTGTGGACTGGCGCTCGTAAGCAACGAGGAAAGGGACTGGCTGGCTTCCTCAAGGCCGTGGGATACATCATCCCTCTCATGGACGAAGAGTATGCCAACTACTACACCAGCCAGATCATGGAGATTCTGCTGCGAGAGTTTGCCTCGCCCGATGAAGAGATGAAGAAGGTGGTGTTGAAGGTGGTGTCTCAATGCGCGGGCACCGAGGGAGTCACGGCCGGTTACCTGAAGGAGCATGTCCTGGACGAATTCTTCAAGAGCTTCTGGGTCCGGCGAATGGCTCTCGACAAGCGCAACTACAAGCAGGTCGTCGAGACCACGGTCGACATTGGCCAGAAGGTTGGCGTGAGCGAGATTCTGGAGAGGATCGTTAACAACCTCAAGGATGAGAGCGAGGCCTACCGAAAGATGACTGTGGAGACGGTTGAAAAGGTTGTGGCCAGTCTGGGTGCTGCGGACATTGGCGAGCGTCTCGAGGAACGCCTGATTGACGGCATCCTTCACGCGTTCCAGGAACAGAGCGTCGAAGACATTGTCATGCTCAACGGCTTTGGTTCGGTGGTCAACGCCCTTGGAACCCGCTGCAAGCCATACCTGCCGCAAATCGTGAGCACAATCCTCTGGAGGCTCAACAACAAGTCTGCCACTGTCCGCCAGCAGGCCGCCGACCTCATCTCGCGAATCGCCATGGTGATGAAGCAGTGTGGAGAGGATGCCCTCATGGGCAAGCTGGGTATTGTCTTGTACGAGTATCTGGGTGAAGAGTATCCCGAAGTTCTCGGATCGATCTTGGGAGCCCTGCGATCCATCGTCACCGTCGTGGGTATTTCTCAGATGCAGCCGCCCATCAAAGACCTGCTCCCTCGGTTGACCCCCATTCTACGAAACCGACACGAAAAGGTGCAGGAGAACACGATTGATCTGGTGGGACGTATTGCCGATCGCGGCCCCGAGAGTGTCAACGCCCGAGAGTGGATGAGAATTTGCTTTGAGCTGCTTGATATGCTCAAGGCTCACAAGAAAGGAATTCGACGAGCGGCAAACAACACCTTCGGTTTCATTGCCAAGGCCATTGGTCCCCAGGACGTTCTGGCCACGCTGCTGAACAACCTGAGGGTGCAGGAGCGACAGTCGCGTGTCAACACGGCCGTTGCTATTGGCATCGTCGCCGAGACCTGTGCCCCCTTCACTGTCCTGCCAGCCCTCATGAACGAATATCGCGTGCCTGAGCTCAACGTCCAGAATGGCGTGCTCAAGTCGCTGTCTTTCCTGTTTGAATACATTGGCGAAATGGCCAAGGACTACGTCTACGCCGTCACGCCCCTTCTGGAGGATGCCCTTACAGACCGAGACCAGGTTCATCGCCAGACGGCCGCATCGGTTGTCAAGCACATTGCTCTGGGCGTTGTTGGCCTCGGCTGCGAAGATGCCATGATTCATCTGCTCAACCTGCTCTATCCCAACCTGTTTGAGACCAGTCCCCACGTCATTGACCGCATCATCGAAGCCATCGAGGCCATCCGTGTGGCCGCTGGCCCTGGCCTGGTCCTCAACTACGTGTGGGCTGGGCTTTTCCACCCAGCGAGAAAGGTGCGGACGCCCTACTGGCGTCTTTACAACGATGCCTACGTCGCCGCGGCCGATGCCATGGTGCCATATTACCCCAACCTGGACGACGAGCTCATGGACCGGCCGGAGCTGGCCATTGTTTTGTGATTTTTGCCATGCCATGCTACGTACGATGAAAAGCTGGCAGGGAGACAACTTTTCGTATAATAAGGGGTTTATAGCAAGTTGGGATAGGGGATATTCTGATTTTGCTTGGTTTTTCTTTCTAATAACGCACAAGGGTGGACTACAAGTGGCATGCGTTTAGGCGTTTTCATGTTAGAGTACCAAAAGAAAAGAAGGTGTGCTTTTTCCACTCCCCGTTGTCTTTACAGTGAGATGAACCTATGGATACCGTGTGTATAGCGACGCGTGATGTTGTAAATGCCCAGATTGTTTTGTCCTTGTATGATGGGGCTACACTCGCGGTCAAGTCGAGTTTCTTCAGTTGCAACGTCATACTACCTGTTTGAGCTGTATGTTGGAGAGACAATTGCTGCCCTTTTCTATCGGTGTTGGTATGATGTTATTCGAGCCAACCCGTAGAAAGCTATTCCTGTATAAAGTCCTCCGCTCAGATAGATGCGCGCTTACTATTTGGGAGGAGGGGCGATGTCAATTATTCGCGGCGATAGTATCAAAACGGTCCCTTTTCATGCACAGATGAATCCATGCAGCCCACATTGTGATAGAAGATGAGCTTGGGCAAACGATATGCGTAGTTAACAATACTCTACGAGAAGACGCATACACGCTCCAAGCGTCGATATACTCGAGCAGTGTGACGTTCTTGTTGCGAATTCCATTCAGACACTCCATCTTGTAGGCGTATCATCACTTGAGCCCTACGTGGCCCCATGAGATGTAGAATTACGAAATGGTTCAATCTCTTCCTTGAGTATGTCTATCAAACTCTTTTAACTCTTTCAACTCTTTCAACTCTTTCAACTCTTTCAACTCTCGGTCTCTTAACATCTTGCTACTTATCTCTCTCTCTCTCTCTCTCTCTCTTTTATAGCTGGACTCTTCCCCACTCTCTCTTTCCTAGTTGAATTCTTCCTCTCTCTGTCCTTATGAGCTGGCAAAGCGCTTTTCCAATTCTTAAAAACAGGATAGATGACGTCTCTAGTATGGACTATCCCATGACCTATCTCTTCCAATCACTTATACACGATGCTCTAGATAATATCAGATCCCTCGATGGCTGATTATCCCATCTCAATAAACGTTACGCAGGCGCTCTGGTCATTAACTGTCCGCTAGAGGCCATCACGCACGCCCAGAGAGAGCTTCGGTCGGTTTTGTCCAAACCACGTTTGCCCTTCCTTGACTGGCCAACGGCAAAATCTATGAATTTATGTGATTTATTTCATTCTACTATATATATAATACGTGGACTCCGTAACATGGCCCCCTGACTTGACCGCTGAGGCGAAGCACATTTCTGGTAACAATGGAAGCAGCTTGGAAATCCTCCAGCGGAACTACCTAGAGAAGAATAGTATGGAGACGGGGGCAGCACTTCGGAGATTGATAGACAAAACATGCTCAGATGCCCACATGGAGAAATCAACCTCTTGGCAGGCACAAGTTTAAAAAAAACCGTTAGATGTTCAGTGGAGTGCGTGGTTTGTTGATACGTGAACTGCCCTGTATGTGGATGAATCCCAAGAGAAACATAGTCCACTTTTCCAGATACTAGATGCGTTGTCGGACTCAGCTCCCAAAGCCCGGAATCATTCGTCCGGGATAAAAGTTGACTGACTGACTAAGGTCATATACTGGGTAGGAAACCGAAAAAAAAGAACGCAAAACTACGCCTATCCATGATTCAATGATAGTGAATGACTAGCGAAAGAAAGAGAAGGCAAAGAATGGGGGTTTCTGGAGAAAGAAAAAAACGGTGTGGTGTTTTTGATTACGCGGCTTGTGGGCTGAGAAAGTTGCTTTTGGTGGAAACGTTGGAGATTTGAATCGCAGACGCGGCCGTGGCTTGGCTTGTTACAGATTATTTTTAGAAGAACAAACTTGGGCTTATCCTGCCGCCAAGAGATGCAACTTGGAGATTGCTTGAGCAGATTCTCTCAAGGTCCCCTTAACAGTTCCCATAACAGTTCCCAGTTCTATTATGCTATCTGCACTCCGTAGTTGGGATATCAAAGTGCCTCTGCAACGTTAGCCCTGGATTGGAGGGCGGCGGCCGGATACAGTGTGCTATCAAAATCCCATCCAGATGATGCCTATGGCTTTCTCAAGGCGGCCGAAAGCGCCCATTCAATATGCTCACAACCCTCCTTTCTCCTATCAGAGCCAGTCGCATGAACTGCCGTCCTCTTCTCTACAGTGAGAGTTAAGGGTCCGACCGTTTATTGCTTCCTTCTAGTGAACCTCCTTTCGAACCCTTCGAAATCCAACGCCAAAGAATCATTCGAGCGGCTGAGGCAAAAGCCACCCACGTTGGAGGCTTACTCCAAAGTCAAGCCTTCACGCCATTACTCCATTGTTCCTTTCTCAACAGCCCTCCTAGAAACTAGGCAAGCCACCACCAGGTCCCATTGCCTACTACGTCGGTGGCCATGCTTAAATACGCCAGAGGCTTGCTTTGACAGGACGGAAACACCATCGCCTTGCCGACACACGAGGCAAGTACTTGACTTTGGACGTCGATAAATCTCAATGTCCGCGAGTACGAAGCCAGCCGTTATGATGAGTGCAGCCTCGGCATCATCAGGCGGCTCCCTATGTATGCTAACGGAGAAATAATACAGCGCATGTCCACTGGAGTGCAGCGCAAGTTGCGCTAATGAAAACTCCGGAGCCTACAAGCCCACAGCGACGCACTGTGTACGTACCTGCGTCACAGTGCGTGGTCCATGACTTGGAGGGTACTTCAGTTATCAGATGCTACGAGTCACTGCACCCTGCGCGAAGTTTTGGAGACAGATCGCCATGCGCCAAAAGGGGGCATCTAACGTGCCTGGTTCCCCAGTGGAGGACGGATGCAGTACGAGTATCGTACCTGTACGAGTAGAAGGACGTCGACACGACGCAATGGTCCCCTGCCAAGAGCGTTGGATGGCGCTGCTATCGTCACCATTTAGGTAGTCTCATACTCGTAGGTATCTCCAAGGTACTCTCCATCTCATCTTCCTCTTTGATAGGAAACTCACAGCATCATCTCCCAGACCCGCAGAGACATCACATATAGTAGGTACATACAACCACAGCATGTAAGACGCAACTATCTCTGTTCTCAGTAATACCCATACCTACGTTCGTACAAGCCCAAGCACACACACACAATCCTACAATCAACAAAAACCATCCAATGACGGCGCTGCAGAATGACGTTTCGAGATCCATACTATGTGGGGCGGACGCGCCAAAGCTAGGGACCCTTGTGCCGCAGCCGCTGACGTCACAGTGCCTACTGCGCTAACGCCGTCTCGTGCTAGTAGTCCTGGGACAGCGGATCTGGCTTTGGATTGGGGCGCCTCCATGGCACCTTTCCTCTTGTCTTCTCAGGTATTACTCTGAACAATTCTTTATGTTTGTTTTCTTTTGGCTCTCAAGAGATGAATCTGATAGTGTGCGTGCGGTTAAAATCCGTTCTCACAAGTACTTGGATACATGGAAGAGAAGGGGTGAATATCGTATTTTTGACCAATGAGATGCTTCTTGCTACGGTACATGTAATTCCGAGTACTAACTCGTGCACATTCAGCTGCCAGATTCCATCGCATCAGCATCAAATGCCAGCCCCAAACACGTCCCACCCCAAAAGACCCTCGGCATAAATCACAACCCTCAGCTTCACATGTACACTCAATCTACTCCCGTAGCAGCAGCATCTTGCAAACAGCCCGCTAACAAAAGAAAAACAACAAAGAAAAGGAAGGCGGCGCATGAACATGTCAGATTGGAACAAATCAAACGGCGATCCGATACGATCCGATTGCCCATCTCGACTAAACCGTTGCAAAAAGCAAAAATGCCTTCAAATCTCGCGCCCCCCATATCACATCCCAGTCCCCTGAATATACCCGCTTCCCCTGATTCGCCCCGGTATTTCTTTTTTGTTTGTTTGTGCGTTCTTTCGAGATGTTCCCACTCCCCCTTACAAGCCTTTACAAGCTTTTGACGATTTCTGCAATGGGAAGGCTGAGGAGAAAAGATGACGGAATGCTACATGGGCTGAAGCAGCTTCACATCAAATTGTCTCAGACGAGAGGTCCATCGAGTCTGTTTGGGGCGTTATTACTGCACACGACTCAACATCTTCTCTTTGTACATGTATGCAAAGCTGCCATACAGCTTACTCTCAGTTGTTACACCTCGTGTATCCATGGCATTGAGTGGCACACATACATTGTACAGTAACGAGGCTCAACTGAACCTCGCACCACAAAAGCCAAGCCAAGGTATCACCTCAACCAAGATTTCTTCAACGTTTATTCCCACATGGCACAAGCAGAAGTAAAATCCACCCTCACGATACGTCACTCACAACTGGGGGTCCATGCATACATACATAAGGTACCTAGTAGCACTAGGTAGAACGCCCCTTTTCTGCAATCGACGGGGAAGACGGAAAACGTGTAAGAAAACACATCAAAGAGCAGCGCATACAGGGAAGAGAGAAATGCGGGAAAAGCTTGTTTTGGATGCACACCCCCCTTCCCTTCCTCATCCCTTGTCCGTTCTCCCTTGGGGGCTGTCTTTGAGAGACACTGTACGGAGTACAGATAGGCAGTACATATTACTGTCTTTGATGATGATACAGTGTTCTGTATGGACGAACGCGAAGGGGACAAAATCGCATCCAGAAAGCTTAGCCTGTACGTACTTTTTTGCAGGGCCGCCCTTCACTGCAACCGCATACAACATGAATATGCGCTTGTGGTTGGACATGTGCAGTCGATTATTACTTCTCGTGCTTGGATGGGTTTGGAATGGCGCGACTACTACAAGAGGCATCCGTCGCCGAGCTGCATATCAACTCGGACGCCCAATAATATGCTTCGTCATCTCCAAGCGCTTGACGATGACTATTAGCACTGTGCCACCAGCAACGACAGGCAAGACGACCGTCAAGTGCAATGACACAAACCTCCAAAGGCAACGACAACAGCAATTGAATCAACTTCGAGAGAAGCAAAACAGAAGCATCCCTTTGCCTGACAGACGCTAAACCCGCTCGAAGGGAAGCCCGTCTAGGATTATATGCGCCACGCAGTCAGTGGCTCACGGGACCGGGCGCCACCTTCATCGGTGGTCGCAAACCGGCCGTTTTTTCAACAGCATAACGGTGACGGCAAGTCTCATTGTTTCTAATATGGCCTTGTTCCCTTTCCGTCTCTCTTATTTGGTGCCTTGTGACGGCTGCAGACAAGTAGATAGGCACGAGGCTGCGAAGGTGCAGCAGTGATAGCATCATATTCAACCCAAAGAAGCAAAATAGCCTCCACTCCCGCCCATCCCCCCATCGTCACCACATACGTAGCAAACGCATCATAGCGTCACAGCCCAATCTTCCAAACCACACCAAAAAACCGCATTTGACCTTTGATATCGACAAAGAAAGAGATACTAGCATCAAAAATCGAGATTCGCAAACTACCGAACAGTTCTCCGCTCCCCCTCTCCCGCGAAACGGCATCACATGCGCCACCATCAAATCACAAAACAACCAATCACTCTCCCTCACGTATCAAACGGTATTAACCCAACTAACACGCAAAAATACCAGCATCACCTATATATTTCATTCTTGCCTCGGCAAATCACGAAAAGCATCAAATAGCTCTCCAACTTCGAATCCCAAGCTCATTCTTTCCCCTCACCAGAAAAACGCAAATCACCGCCAAATACGTCCTCGAAGCTGCCCACTTCAGGAAAAGTGGCAAACATGTCGGTTTTCGCAGCCGATAGCACCCCAAGATCTAACGGGCTTTTCTCCAAAAACGTTTCTGAACAAAAAGACCGTACCACTTGGATGATCTCGCTACGAATCCGTAACTGTTTTCTCCTCATTCAAACGAAACGACGTCGCCAGAGAAGCGTCACGCAGTCGACGTTTGATTCGGCGTGGCACCGTTTTACCCGGCCGCCTACCCTCGATATCACCACACCTTCATTCACCCATCGCTGCTCGCCCTAACATACATACAGTACGCAGCCTCGTATCAAAAAAACACCCGGATTGCCAAATTCCCAGGGAATTGGCCACCTCGCTTCGCCAAAATACCCATCTCATCCCATAACCCATACAATACTCCATCGCAAACAGCACTCCTCCATAATCATCCCACCCAACCACCACCACAAAAAACCCTGTCCCTTGTTCCTCCCATCCCTCCCCCTTCACACCACACCCAGTAAAAAGCCAAGAGCTTCACACAAAGACGAGAAAACAAGCATCCAAGCATCCCGGCATACGACACCCCACAAAAGCTTGTCCGGTCTTGACAACGTCTCTCAACGGGTCCCTCTATCCCGAATCAAGCAGTGATGATCCAGGCTCTGAAACGCGCCCTCCATTCCTCCTTGAGCAAGTGATCGGCCCCTTTTTGACGAACCCAGTACGTACATGCCGAGGAATAATACAGTAAGATACTCATCTCGAGATGAAATTATCACGCCGCCTTTGAAGATTGTCGTTCGAGCCAGTACTGCGACGTGCAGTGATATCCCCCCCTCATGACAGTCGGACTCTTGAACCTCAGCTAAACTCGAGCTACGAGAAACAATCAAACAGAATTACATCAAATTGCGTCCATGAAAATCAACCAAAACCTTCAAACCCATCAGTATCACCATAAGTTACCATCAAATATTATCCCTGCTACCATCATTTCACCATTCCACACCTCGCGTACAGAGTACAGTACACACAAAGCACACACACTCCATATCCCCTTTGCCCCTATCCCAGGATTGCCCAAGATAGATATCCGATTTAGCCTACAGCCAGAATGACAAGTATCAATCAATCATAGATGCAAGAAGTCCCAAGTGTCCAAAAGGACAGCTTACTGTGCGTGTAAGCGGCAGGCTAAAGCATCGCCAAATGCCCAAGCAACGCCTCTCCCGCGTGCGTGCTGGCGATCGCCGTCCGCCATTGATGCGAAATCTCTAGCCAAAACGAGGCGGGCTTTCGCTCGCACATGCGTTGGACAACCTCCTGGCCTCCACTCGAGCTTTACCCGCCTCTTTGGGGCATCCTCGCCGTGATCGACACCCGTCATCCGGGAAGAGACTCGGCTGTTCCTCGCCCAGTTTCCACCTCTCCTGCTCTCCTGCTCTCCTGAGCTCTCCTTGCCTGCTGCTCCTGCTCCAAACAGACGGCTCCGTATGCATCATGAGTCGTGTAAACACAGCAGACTCAGAGATCATCAGGGACCAACCACCAGGGACCGTTGAACGAACCACCGAGCCAGTAAGCAAAATCAAAGGTGCCAGAAAGATGGATTTTTTTTTGAATTTCGTGTATTCAACAAGAGATTCACAGTGCTATCAAACGGGTATATCATCGCCGTGAGAAAGGGCCTATTGATACAATGCTAACCCGCCGGGCGAGGCCGCGTGGTTGCCATCCTTTCCATCCCTCCCACCCAACCCTGTTGTCATGATGATATAAGGCTTCAAGTTGCTTCCTTTCGCAATCAATGGAATCGAGCAAGGCTAAGCGTAACACCGACTTTACGCTGAAAGAAATCCCTTCTGATAGAAACCCCTTGCCCCAAACGCCGGACTGGAAGACCTCGTGTATCCCATCGTTCCAGTCGATTTGTAGTCCTGTAAAGCCACCATGCCAGCTGGCACACGAATAGAAAGTCCTGACTGAGATAAATAAAAGAAATCAAAGAAAAGAATGAAAAGAAAAAAAAAAAAAAAAAGTAGAATAGGCATCACACGCCCATCAAGAGATCCCCCGGTGTGATGCCTGATTTCCAATGCGTTGCATTGGTGTCCCTAGCCAGTGGGATGAAAGTTCATGTGCATAGCCGCGCCATCTTCGTCAAGAACCCCTAGCGTCTTGATTCTTTTGATCCCACACCCTCTAATTTAGTGTCATGAGATGAAGTCGTCCGATTGTCCCAATTAAAGCATAGTAAAGGTTGATCTCTTCAGCGGCAACCGCTCCGCAGCCGCATCTCATGCAACTTCTATGCTGCTACAGATGATCCATGTGCGGAAGGCGGTGGCCGCCGAAAAGGTAAATGATGAAAGGGTTGGCCATACAAGGCCCAAAGTCGTGAAGATTTCTAATGATACAACCCAGATCAAATCGATTGAGGGCGACTTAATCCGAGTGATGGTCCTCTGAGCCAGCCTCGGACCGGGCATCGCCTCTGTGGACTTTTCGGTGGCGTCGCAGGTTGGAGACGACGGAGAAGTGGCGTCCACAGCCCTCGACTTCGCAGGCGAATGCTAATAACGACAATGAGCTTCCTTTTCTTGATAAAGGTAATAGTGGCATTGATGACTTACGCTTCTCGCCAGTGTGGCTGTACATGTGCGTCTGTAGCGAGCTTGGTCGTGTGAAGCGCTTGTCACAGACCTTGCACTTGTGCTTCTTCTGGGTGCTGGACGACACCTTGGAGCTGAATTGGCCCATCATGGATTGGGGCGCAGGAGGCATCGATGACATCATGCCCTGAGGTCGAGGGAGCGTTCTCGAGCCTACAGATTCAATGTCTGAGCCCGCGGTTGAGTAGTCGGAGACGGAGTCGCCATAGTAGGAGCTGAAGTTACCGGACGAGGAGATGGAGGAGCTGGTCGAGTGCGTCGACGGGAAGCCATAAGAGTCCACGGAAGATCGGTCGTTGCGGTTGCCGTAGATGTTTCTTGGCGTCTCCTGGCTCATGGCGAGCATGCCCTGGCTGGCGTCAAGGGCTTCGGCGAAGCCTCTTCGGTCGTCAGCGTGGACGCTGTTGGAAAAGGTCAGCTTGGCTTGGTCCATCTTTGTTTCCGTCTTCTGGAGACAACTCACTGTTGAGAGAATCTCCGCGAGGCATCTGTTTCGTGGCCAAGGGTGCTAAAGGTAGGCGGCCGCACAGGAGCAGGTGCGTATCCCAGGGCATCATAGGGAGTAGCTGAAGGGGGTGCAAAGTGGCCGTGGACGGGAGAGGCCGTCGTGGCGTAGGTGGCGTCCGCATAGGCAGCAGACGAGGTCTGCAGGCGGTTCAAGTTGAGCAAATCTGGAAACGAGGATCGGTGAGCAAATGCAAACGACGCATCACATTACAAGAGGGTAGAAAGACACAACGTACCAGCTGAAGTCGTGTGGACGGGCATTGAAGCGTATGATGATAAAGGAGGTGCTGCGCTGCTGGTAGGGGCACGCGCACTGTGAGACTTGTGCACGAGATTGTGATTGAGAGAAGGCGGCTGCGGACCTCCGACATAGAGATTGCTTCCAGCCACGGCAGCGGTTTGAGATGGCGATGGTGAAGAGGACCACGGGTTGGAAAAGGCCGGTGGCTGGCCGTGAGTCGGATAGTCAAAGTTCATGACAGGCCCGAATCGCTGCTGCTGCGGTGTATCCAGCGTCATTGTCATGATGTGTGTAGTGGTGGTTTGCTAGGGATGGAAGAATTGGTGTTGGACGATCGATGATGCAGTGCAAGGTGAAATGTCTTTGGAGGGCTGGTGTTGTGATTTGATCTTTTGTTGTTGTTCTGTTTCGGCTGTGTCTGAAAGTGATGAGCAGGACTCGGGAAGAGAGTCGTCGGTCTTTTCGGGAGATGTGCGTGTGTGAGAGATTGGTGCGTGGCAGAGGGAGAAGTAAGGTTTGTTGATCGATGCGGGATCCCGACTAGGAAGATTGCCAAGTCGGTAACACAGTCCAAGAGCCAAAGAAGATCCCGTCTGGAGTTGGGAAACGGTGGGATCAGCGAAGTCTTAAGTGTGTCCTTGGGGGCCTGTGAATTGACGTGCGTCAGTTTTAGCGGATGGCAGAGGAGGTCCCGGGCTGGTCTGGTGTGACGACTCTGGCTGTGTGGTGCAAAAGTGATCGGCAGGCCAATGTCCCTTTCGCAAAGCCCGAGGCGACAGGGTTGCTTGCGATGAAGTAGGGTGATGCTAAGGCCCTAGGAACAAGAACCGGCCGGGGGGGGGGCTGCAGGCTAGTTGAATTAAGTGACGAGCATTTGGGAGAAACCCACAGGGAACCACCAAAATTCCGTTATGGAGCAGCGCAGAGGCCAAATCGCGGTGGAGAGGATGGAGAAGGCGAAGAGGAGAGCCGACAAAGAGCAGATGCTGGCAGAGATAGGGATGACGAAGGATTTTGGGTGAGGGAGGGACAGCGGCGACCAGAGGGGAGTGAAAAACAAGTTTGGAGAGTGCTGCTACCTACTTCCTGGTAGGACGACGACGGGGCTCCAGAGCGGAACAGGGGAAGAGCTCCAAGTGGGCAGCGAAAGGCGGGTTTGGTTTGCTGCCAATGCGGTGTTTGCTGTGTCCCTGGCAGCTGTGTTTCTAATCTGATGCAGCAGGCACGGCGCAGTAAGGGTATGGCTGAAGATGAAGTTGATGTATCAAAGATGTGTGCTGATTTGGCTGTGGGTTTGGTGACGATGATGCTGGCGGCGGGGAGGAGGAGATGTAAGGTAATAACCTGAGAGGACGAGGAGGAGGCGAAGGAGATTGAAATGCTGGGTACCTTGAAAATGTACAGTACAGTCTGAGGTACCTTACCTCCCCGTCTTTGGCTGATGTCGAGGTTCCAAGCTGCAGCTGGTCTGTGGCAAGTTTTGAGACAACGCGCAAGACAGCCAGGTACTTGAAGCTGGTATTTGCCGGTACGGGCGAGGGGAGGGACCAGCAGGCGCACGATGATGTATGTACTGGGCACAATGGAATGAAGCGAATCCAGCATTCGAGGGGCGAAGAGAGGAGATGGCTTGTTGTCACGAGTAAGGCGAGTTACAAGATGCAGAACAACGACGCAAGACTCGAGAAGACTGAGGTCGGCTCGGTACGGAGTACAAGTGCCGTCTCTGCTCAACAGGGCTTAGCAGCATGGGCACAGAGACGAGAGCGACTGAGTACCGAGTACTGGGTACCGCGGCAATTTGGAGGCTTCAACAGGTGCCATGCTTGGATCATGTCGAGGAACAACTTCTCCGTCACCAGTACCTCTGGACAAGAGGCAAGAGGCAAGAGTAGACCCAAACGAAGCAGGCACCATGGGGGACAAGCAAACGCAGTGAAGGAAGCTGCCCTCCAGTGCGTGCGTGTGTGTGACCTCCTCGGGCCAGCTAGCAGGAGCCATGATGTCGACAGCGAGACAAGCAAGACTAGCCAGCCAGCCAGCGTGGATCTGAAAGGGGGGTGGAGATGCAATCTGTGGGCCTGGGAAGGCACGACAGGGGGAGGTGTGGACACACGGGCGGGGTGAGAGAAGGCAGGCAGCAAGGCGGCGAGCACATCCACGAGTCCCGGTACATGCGGGACTGGGGATTTCTCAGCGGTGCGGCTGTACGAGTGCGGGTAGCAGTACTTCGGTGCCTGTGGCTGGACGAGGGAACTCCAAGGTTTGCGGCTTCCGTTGACGTTGGCTCGCTCTTGCTTGTCCCGAATTTGGACAGCCACCGCTTGCTCTTGCAACTGGCAGCGGCAAACCGAAACGGTGATGATATCAGATCCGGTTTTGCAGGGCGCTCACTCAACCCTCGATTCCAGCATGAAAGTGATTGAGTTTATACTTGGCATGTACTCCGTACCGCGAGAAAAAAGAGAGAAAGACTGGCAACGAATTGCACTGTGACGCTGATACAAGTGTGCTTGTACACGTATGAGCAGTGTGGAGTTGAAGCGGCACAGCAGTTACGAGGACAGGCAGGGAACAGCTCGAAAGTACATCCCCTGCTGGCATGCGCTGCTGGGATACCTCTGACGGCCAGTAGCAGCTCGCACTGGCTCACACGGTACGAGTGCCAACCCAGTGCCAGAACCCGGGACAGGGCAAAAAGAGGCGCCGCAGGGATCTGGTCAAGAGTGCGGGTGGAGCAGCAAGCAGGGAAAATCTGATGCTTGTTGGATAAGGCTACGGCAGTTTGACCAGGGGCCTGCGACAGGTGGACTGTTGGCCACTGCGGAGAGAATTTGGAGGAAATTATGCAGGGGGGCAGCCAGCAAGAATGCCGAATTGCGCAGAGCGTTGGCGGTGCGGCGTGTGTGTATGTACTCGTATACTACCTTATGTTCGGAGAAGCTGTTGCGACATGGACGAGAGTCAACAGATAACATCGGCTGGTAGCTTTGCTATTCGTCTCGATATTGCTCGACAAGAATTCACACGAGAGATTCAACATATAGCAGTAGTCCCAAAGAAACAGACGGTTTGTGGGTGATGGGAGGATGCAACACAAGCACAGCAAACTAAAACATACTACCAGAATTCGTCGACAAGTGAGCCACTACAATATAGTAGGTGGCCGTATCGGAAGGGGTAAATACCTGCCGGGTACGGGGTCGGAGGCCAATTCACTCGAAAAGCCATCCCTCCAAGCATCCTCAGTCCGAAAGTACTGAGATTCCATCCGTTGACTCGATGAGCGAAATTCCTCGTACGGAGTACGGCGGCTGTACTCCGTACGGACCCCGTGCGGAACACGGAGCGACAGGGATCCAGCCCGGCTCCGGTGGGGTCCAGCTCTCTGGGCCGACGGCCGGGCGTTGACGCAGCTGCAGCCCTGACGTAAAGGGCGCCCCTCTCTTAAAACGTTGCCGTGGCCGCTGCTGGAGGCTGGATATTATTACTCGCGAATCCAAGGGGAACAAAGCACGGCGTCGACGCCGTCTGGGAGTGGGTGGGGGAAGCGATATGGAAGGGTTGGGACACAATCTACCGAGTGATGCACGAGACGTGCAAAGGGAGATGGGTGGTGGTGAGATGAGCAGACGGCATAGATGAGATGGAGCTGTGAAGCCCAATGGCTAGATGAAACCAAGCTGTCAAGTACAAGAGAAGAGTGGAGGGAGGAGTCGGCGAATATGTCATTTAGATAATCGGAACTTGCCAGTGTAAGCAGACGCAGAGATCAAACAGAGACGATTCCTAGCTGTGAGGTGTTGGTTGGCGAGGCCGCTATTACAAGTACTATCTTTGTACGGCATTCATCGATCAAAACAGAGTCAGATATATAATACCACGGCAACATACAATCACACATACGTATGATAACTTAGACTACAGATCCAGCCATCTCAGCGCACACGCAAAACGGTGAGCATCTTTGCGGGGACCGTGACCTGCGTCTATGACCGTTTCGGTGGATCTCATCACGATAACCTCCCCCCTCCCATCGACAATTCACCACACCTGAGCATGACTGTATTTCGACTAGCTGACGCTTGCCTGCCTGCTTTTCCCCGCGCCAAGCTCCTCCAATCCTTTCCACCCCAAGCAACGGGATGGCATCGTGGTCGACGACGCAAAGACCGAAACAAGATCCAAAGAGGCTGGCCGCCCCCCTCCTCCTCCCTTCTCATTCCCAAACCGGGCTGCCGGATGGAAATGCCCGTCATCGTCATCTCATGGGTCGGGTGTGTGCAGGGCAGAGCACACTCTTCCGTTTCCAAGTTTCAAGTTTTTTGTCTCTTTTCCCTTGCTGTCTTTTCGTCATTGTGCTTGTGCTTGCTCCGGGATGCTGCAGCTTGGCAGCTTTGGGATCGGATTTTCAGCCTCTTCGAGATGCATCGTCACCGTCACAAGCTACACGACACGTGCAAAACGCAAAACGGGCTCGGGGAAGCGCCCATCACCCTCCCTCCGTTTTCTCTCATCCCTACAATATCACCACTGCCAGCGAATAAACGCTGTGTTGCTGCCACTACGAAAGTTCTTTGTCTGGGTTGAGGTAGGGCGAACCAAGTGCTACAGCATTCTTGTTCCCTTACTTTCTTCCTTTTCGCCTCACAACATGCTGCACATGGTATGGACGCCCCCCCGCTCACCCAAATTTACAGCATGCCTTAGTCCTCACCTCTAGTATGTATTGTAACTGTATTACCGCTGCAAACCAGCCAATTCGCTGAAGAAGACGCATCCAAGATGATACCAATCCTTGCCAGAGCGGACCACGCATTCCCACATCCTCATTCGCACGGAAGCACCTCGACTGCTTCCCATTCGCCGCGGCCCGCCCGCTTCAGCGCGCAAAGTCCTACATACTAATACGCATACGCAAGACGATACACACAACCCCATGGATCTCATTACGAGTACCGTCGACACTGTGCGCTTGCGGCACTCGCCAGCCAACACAGTGCGAAAGCAAAGACCAAATCCCAGTCCCTGGACAAAACGGCGTCTCCAAAAAAATACGTCACCAGCTGCCACCCCCTTACCAGAGGCTTGCGTCTTTTAGGCTTGACGGACAAGTTTGGCGCTGGCGCTGGCGCAGGTTTGGGTTCCGGGGTGGCTGCTGCAGGCTTCCGCCGGGAATAATGTAAAAGTCGCCTACCAAGGTGGCCCCCATAATCGAAGCTGATGTGCGCCTTGCAACAAAGTTTACGAGATTCAAGTTGATGCGGGATGGACGTGAAGCTACGACCAAGAGAGAAGGCGAGTAAACTGTGGGAGACTGTCGACAGCTGAAACGTCGTACGGGGATTATAATGTCGGAGCTAAATATAAACACCCGACCAGATGTACAATGACTGCCCGAACGGGAAGTCGGAGCGTGAGAACCCAGGCCAAGTGGTTGGCAAGCACAAGTGCAAAGGACGGAGATATGAATGCAATATCTTTCCCGACAAACCTGGTGCGAATTGATTATTTCTCTCATAGCCAAGGAAGAAAAGGAACGAGAAGAGAAGAAAGGAAAAAAAAAGGAGAGGCATACTGTGCTGGTGCACCCATGATTCCGCTGATGACTTGTGCCTCCCTACCGGCCGCTGGCTTCCCGCAATCGGTGTTAACATGGCCGCTCCAGGGATATTTCCCACCTGCGAACCACAAGATGCAAAGGAAAAGGAAAAAAAGAGCGTTCCCGCTAAAAAGCTGGGGCCCATCAAGAGGGATCAGAAAAAAGACAGGGCTCCACCACTTGCGGCTTCGACCCCCGGCTTCGACTACTGCTAGCCTGTTGCTTGTCTCTGCCCTTTGGTTCCCTGTCGTTGCCATGTCCCCCCGTCACTTCGGTTCGCTTGTGGCTGGACTATAATTCTCGTGGCAGAAGAAGCAGAAATGGCTTTTCTAGAAGAGATGGAAGCCGATGAAATGTGCCCTAGTACCTCCGTAGATGCTGAATCTCAGCTCTTGAGGATGTTTGAAGAGATACGGGATCTTGGAGACACGGCCGGGACCAGGTTCATTAAGAATGATGGGGGACTTTTGACTGCTGATATTGCCCTGGGGGTTCACTTCCAGTATGAAGACGATGCTGCCACATGCTGTGTTCCCGCACTCACACCAGAGCTACCGTATTGAAAATTAATTCATTTAGGCTGCTGCTTCCGTGTCATACACCATAACGGTGCTCCATACTACGTACTAACACATGCACAACCAAATGATGTTGAGGCTGCCTCAGCTATCAAACTAGTATACTGCACTCGGAGGAGCCGCGCCAATAAATGGTCGCCTGACTTGAATCCGTGTGAAATGGTCATTTGGGCATGCTCAATCTTGCCGTTCATTACGAGTACATATGCCCTCTGTTTCGTTTACGGTTTAGGAGGATAATGGTAACGACAGCCCAACCATCAGAATACGGAAGTGTCATTTTGGCAGCCACGGCACGAGATGAAATCACACACTTTTTGCAAGGCCAGGGTCACATCTGATTTGGGCCTTTGCCGTGGGCTGGAGGTGCCATTACGGCGGAGATGCGTGCTACGGGTGGAGATGAGATACAGGCGTGGCATCTCCCTTTTGGGTCTGCCGGGTACGAGGACGCGAATCACCGTTGTTCGTTGTTGCTGTACATGCAGACTTGTATGATACTGGCCACCACGTCTCTGTATCCTATTGTTTCCCATGCTTTCTTTTGATTCTCCCTCTCTCTTCATCACATTCCCACGCTCTCCCTGGAGTTGATGTCGTGTCTCATCCAAGTGAGACGCCAAGGGGAAGAAGAAACGAACAACAGAGGAAAGATCAGAGAGGAGGAGGAGAAGCAGACGTTGTCTGTCACCCATTCTCCCTCTCCCATGAACCGAGGATTTGGGTGCGGAGGCGGTAGGCCGGATTGGGACACATGAAACGCGCCACTCGGGCTAGGGCTCCCTTTTCTCGCTTTTTTCTCGAAGGGTGTCGATGCTCCACAAATTCAAGTGAGAATTGACAAGATTGCGATGGGTTTGTCTGGTGATGGAGCAAATCGCTCTGGTTGCCTTTTCGGAGGTGCTGTTTTGACTAGATCATGAAGAGAATTACTCAAAGGAGAGTGCTCATGATAGATTATCGTGAAGACGGAATCTTGAATATTCGTGATTGGTAAGAGGTCACGACGTACGAGACTTGTAGACTGCAAGTTGATCGCCTGGAGACGCCGATATGATATATACAATGCGGGATCAAGCAAAGGGGCCTCCGAAGTTCATGCTTGGCAGAAATCACCTACAAAAGGATGATGGCATTCACTCGTACATATCAGCACAGGCACGATTCAAGCATCGGACTTACGCGAGATGGGCAGCAGTCATGGTTCCTCCATCCATGGGTGCATGCTCCCTCCCCCCTCGAGATT